TATAGAATTTGTCTGCCGTCGACTCTCTAGATTCCCTTAACGCCCCCCAATTCTCTTTGAGCCTTCTACTGCCCCCTGAAAGCCTCCAGCGTCCACACGGGGGCGTTATCGCCCACTTTGAGAAACGCTGATCTACATTAACGACTAGTTTGAATTAAATAATAATATTTGCATTCCATTATAATCCAATTTTTTGAATTTTTAATAAACTGCTTTTGGTGTTTCTACTTCATGTTTTAACTGTAATCATTAAAAATTGTTAAGATTCCAACATTCTTTACTGAGGTAAAAAGGGATCTGGCATTAAAATAAATTTGAAACCGCTGACGGTTACTGTACAGGCATCTGTTTTCTTTCAAACAAAACAAATCGCAGGTCTCAAGTCACTCGGGGGTGAAAAGTTTACAGTATCACGTTTTACCTTTCCCGATTAATCGCCAAGGGTGGTGGGTTGGCGGTACCTAGGTCAAGCTAAAGTGAACATATTTTCTGCTTCGAAAAGTGAATATTAGACACTATTTACATATTTGAAGGAATATTACAATAATTGACAATAATAAGTGATTAATTTATTTTTTCCGCCATTACGCAACAACCAGAAGTAACAACTTTCGTGGAAAATTTTAGGGTTGAATGTTTCTGATGAGTCAATTTCTAACCTAAATAAAGTCGCTTAACATGAAAATTGGCGAAATTAGAAGTAAAAATGAAGAAAATAGCAATTTTTAAACGTTTGTATACGTTCTGACTTCGATGACATGATCTGGAAGAGGCGTGCAATTTTGCGGGAAAATTCCCAACGGATTGTTCTGAAAGAACGCCGATTGCATGAACTAAAGTCATTCGTAATAGAAATTACCACTTAGAGCATAAAAGGCGTGTCAACAAAAACTATAAAAGCCGATTAACGGCAGAAGGTCTCCCCTAGACTTACTATAAAGAGGTGGAGTTTGGCGAGATTATTTATTTCGAGAGGGTGGTAACGGTTAACTCATTCGTCGATGTAGAACCCCACAATTTAGACAAAAGCCAATCCAAACTTAAATCGCGAGCAACTACAGTTTAATTTCCCACTCATCGACGAGGCCTCAACAGGGGAAAGGTTTTAATAAAGCAACAAATTATTAACTAATAACCACAATCGAAAGTATTGCACGTTAATATTTATTTCTTTTCTAGTAAACACCGTTAATCCAGGACTTGTGTCTTTGGCAAATTATCGTTGTCTTCCGAATTTCCCGTTGGTCTTAATCCGAAGTATCTGCAACTTCTTCATTTTCCCCTATTTTTATAAAATCTGATATTTTCGTTGACTGGCCGTTGCCTAACAGAATCTTTAAAAATGTCACCTTTTTATAAAGTAGTAGCTTTTCATTTGATCTATAAAAATAAAATACGGTCACTGTCTTTCGAGTTCGTTTACAATAGTGTTTTTCGACCTTATTCTCGTCGCAGACCGGTCAAATTATAAATAATTTTACGTAGACCGAGTAATTATATCCGATTATGAATTATGCTTATTTATTAAGCTTATATTTGCTTATTTAGACTTACTGTACCGGTACGTAGCAAAGTACAGTGCGCACAGTAACTCTATTATTTAATTGTCACTCGTAATCAATTGCGCCAGCTTCGGTGCGGTCTAATATTTTCCTGTCGACTGATGAAACTTTTTCTCTAACCTGGTTCTAGTCCGTGGACGGGCGGTTGAAAATCACTGATTTAGAGCGCTATCATCAACGGGAATGACACCTGGTTTATAGGAAAGCTACAATAAGAAAGGAAAAAATCCAGCAACCAGATGGTTAACTTTCCTGGCAACATTTGGTTGTGCCTTCTGTTATCGTATTTTATTATAAACACTTTATATTTTCAACTATTATAAAATAACCTTTATATAAACGCTTGTATACACTTCACTTTCTCTGCTGCTCTCAAATGGCTTAGACGTAGAAATAAACTCTCTTTTTGTTAATGTTAGTTAACTTTGGGTTGTCTGAATAATTCATAGTCTTCCAACAGGATGGGTGTCATAAAAAGAAATTGTAAATGCTAAGAGCCAGTAAAATCGTCATTAAGTCCAACCCTGGTGGAGATACACGCGACCCTACCCATCGCTTTTAACCACCAAAGTTTAATAGCATCGATCTCGTCATAAATAAACCTCCCTGTAAAATTTCAAAAGTTTTCTACAAAAAGCGCGGGAGTTATTGAGCCTCAAACGGGATGAACAAAATCGTTGCCCCTTACACACACACATTAACATCCATACATACAAAACTTATCCCCCGATTTTTTTACGTTTCTCGACGTTTCGACATGTCCCAAGCCCAAAAATGTAAAAACCTTGGAAGGTGATTTTTTTCACCGATCGTCATATTTTCCCTCTTTTATATATAACAACCGAGAAAGTTAAAATTGTACAATCAGTTCTCATTAAAGAAAATCGGGCGAAAACCACGCGACGGCATCAAAAATTTCAATATTCCAAAATCCTTGGGCAAATACCAGACTACGCGCAGGCTTCTTGAATAAAAAATTTATCGACAATTGTCAGGTTTGTATGGGAATGTTTCCAATTCTCGAATCATGTTAGAGCGAAACCGTGTTGTAGGAATGACGCGTTATATCGAAATTTAACGCGGAAATTTTATTTTATCAAAACAACAATATCTCTTCTCTACATAGCTCTATCTACGAAAAGAAAAATAGCGAAACTAATTTCAGAGATCTTATCATATATATTCACAGACATTAAATTTCTCCTCAAATTTTCAGTTGTTTCGATCTCTACTGAACTTCCTTAAGAACAGTAACCACATTTTTGGTTCTAATTTTCGGAGGTTTAAAGAACTATGGATCAGATGTTACCGAAAGACCATTTTTAAAAAAGAACGAATCTAGTTTTTCGTTGCTACGCATTGCATTCGACATTTCTGATGTCATTATCGAGCATCGTCCGGATAAGACACTTCCTAAAGAGAACCCGAGAAGTTTAGACGAGACTGTACTGTACACCAAAATAATATAGGAACCACGACATAGCCTGTGCTCGACATGTCGTAGTTGAATACAAAAATTTTAGGTAATTGGTACCCAAAAACTCTTCCGTTTTCACATTAGGCAGTATTTTCATGAGCAATAGTATTTTATAGTGTGAGTGGCTAGCCGGGGATAATGAGTTACTCTGACTTCAGTACCACTTAATCGGCAACTATTCTTTAGAATAGCCCTCTGTTTGTCTAAAACAGGGGTCGCCAAAGTGGTCTATATCGACCCCCAAGGGTCAATGCAACATCATTGGGGGGTCGATGCGGCTAGGGGGTCGATGCGGCAATCGGTTACAACCTTTTTTTTTGCTTATACAGATATCAGAGATCACAACGTTTTTTTTTATTTTGCTCCTACACTTACACTTATAATAAAACTTTACGGTGGGGGTCAATGTGAGGTTTTGGAAAGTGGTTGGGGTCTACAGTTTAAAAAGTTTGGCGACCCCTGGTCTAAAATGATGGTTTTCTAGTCAAAGAAAATCGAGTGCGGAGGGACTTACAGATTGAATGTTAATTTAAAGCGGGATTAGAGGATTTCGTAATCACTCGCTCCCTCGTCAGGATTCCCGACACCAGTTAATCAATTTTGTGATACGCGGATTAACAGGCGTCTTGAGATGATACAAAAATGAATTTCTCGGTTTGATTCAGATACATTAAATTTTTGTTTTATTATTGTTAAAGAGATGTCTATCTCTTTAACAATAATAAAACAAAAATTTAATGAACGAAATAACAAAAATTATACAAAGTGGAATCGTATCGAGAGAGACAGAGCTCACAATTTTCTACTATAATCATACTACCTCGGGATATTTCTTATCTTCGTCTGTTCTTTATATGATTGACTTCAGTTCTTTCTAGGTAGGTCTTACCTGGCACAATTTTATATATTTTCTTCTCTTTTACTGACTTAATGAAACATGGGAATCTAATATGGGCGTTGGCCTTCAGGAGATAGTATGGAATACGTCTTCCTTCTTTCCGATTTCGTGACGTACTCCCCGAATCATGTAAAACTCTTTCTCTTTTTCATGATTTTTCTCCAATCAGCTTTTTGGATTCTCACGTGAACAGTGGAAAAGGGGGATGTATCGAGGGGTTAACAATTCCCAGGGTGACTAAGATTTTAGCAGATAAGGGAAAAACAAAAGGATGTTTCAACTTCCGTTGCAGGAAGTGACTTTTATCAGTTTCCCAGAGTTAGAAAAACCTAATTTCTCATCAAACTTAAAGAATATTTTTTTCGTTGAAATTTTAACAATTCAATTTAACTATTAATTAGTCACAGGGCTATTCAGATCTCAGAATAGCCTATAATGGATCTTTCCGTACCGACTTTTATTTCCTGTTTAGTCAGGTTCGTTTTAAATAGGTTTCACTGTGTAAGAAGATATTTAGACTCAATTACACGTGACTGAGATACATAATATTTAATATTCCGTTTAGAGGCGTCAAAAATTTCAATTTATTGTTCCGTTAACTTTATCAAACAATAGATGTTTTGTGTACCTTTTGTTGGGATTACAGTAGATTGTCTTTTGCGTCAAATCTGAAAGGGCCGACTGTAAAGGTCGAGGGTACCGGTTAAACAGTTTTTTCCTTATTTAAATTAAAACTTGTTACTTGTATATTTTTATTAGTATAAAATTTCCAGAAAATCGACCCCCACTTCTCCCTGTAACCAAAGTTTCCCGTACTCCCACGACTTAAAGTAGGGTTTTCTTCGAAAGGACGAAAACTGGAGATACTAACCAATAGTTTACTCTACACGCAGTCGACCGATAAACTGTATTCCGGATAACGGGGAATCCCCCAATGTTCAATAAAGTTAAATTGAAATTGGAAATTATTTTTACGTAGTGTTTTGTTTAGCCTAATAATAATGAAAATTTTGCATTGGTAATTGATAATAATGAGACTAAAAATTTATTGGAATAAAAATTACGACAATAAAAATATTTTAATAATACGTTGAATATAAATCGTCATCGGATGAAAAATTGAGGATGATATTAAATTCGTTCTTCCATCACGTACGGAACTTATTAAGATACGAGAAATTTGCTTTCATCGTTTCTTTATTCTTGGACAGACTTTGATCAAGACGGGTTCTGCCGTGGTCAACGAAATGTGAAACATTTTTGGTAAAATTTCTTTAGAAAAGGTTTCGATGGTGAAGTTTCTAAAAAGTGTAACGAGAAAGATTTTAATCTCCATCATCGAGTAACGATTTGCTGAAAAAGAATTTATAAAGAATTTATAACTTTAAAAGCTGAATAATCAGATAATTAATTTAGTATCAAAGCAAATAAATTATATTTGAAATTAAAATATAAACGTTCATTATTAATTTCAAATCATTGCATGAATTTTTTAATCAGAAAAACATCAATTCCTAGTTTTAATTTATTACATATATAACTTGTCTAGTTTCGGTGTCCATTATCGTATAGAGTGTTTATTTACGAAATCCACTTTTTCATATATTGTCCTTCACCTTAATTAGAATTATTTATTTACTGATATTACACCTACAATACGAAGTTTGGTGAAACAGTAGATCTCCTTCCATAGGAACAAGACCCTTGTAAATCAGAAATGTATAGGAACTCACCCGCAATAAAAAAAATATATAAAATACCACCAATTACTTGTTGTGACAATGACGGGCTGAAATTTTTCGTCACAATTCTCTCGCCCCTGTACGTCATACTTTTCCTGTTAACAATACAGCCATGCCGGTAATGTATCTACCTCTGTTTTGGATAAAACGTTTGAATTGAAATAAAGCGATTTCAGGACCAAACTGGAAGTTCGTACAGTACATAGCTAATCGTGCCTCCTGTCCATATGCTTTCCATATCTACTTTCGATTTTCATCTATCTAAGTCCATTCTCGAGATGGAGGAAAGACAATCAGACGGACCCTAGCAGGAATTTATAGGTCAGCAATTTGAAATTTCAGCCCAATTAAGTATTAGTATAAAATTACTTCTACAAATGACTGGCACCATCAAAATTAGGTAGAAAATTGCAGACAAGTATTAAAGTAGTAGCGGAGTCGACTGATACTGGTCCCACAGCTATGTTCTAAAGTAGAATTAAAGTATCGAGTAGCCGATAGCCGGCGCCGAAGTCGCTTCGAGGCGGGAAGTTGTTTTATCCATTTGGTCGGTAGAAACTTTTCTTATTTCCCAGTAGTTTTATAATTCGTTCTACGATTCCGTCAAGAAAAATCTTATAAAATTAAAAAATGTAATTACAAATATCTTGTTTAAAGAAAAAAGTATATTTGGTTTTTGAAACATTTAATAAGATAATAATTTGAAATTATAAGTAAAGATGCGAATAAATTAAATGGAAAATAAAATTATTATTTAAATATTTCTATTATTTATATTGCTACATATCGTGCACGAAAGTCTTTTGCATAATTTTATGTTTCTGTATATAGTAAGCTATACTCTATCTATTTAATAAATAGTTGATTTGCACTTTTCTATGTTGTATTTTATTGCATATCTATGACAATATAATTGTGAAAAATCATAGTTCCGATGCGTTTAAATAAAAGTGGGAAATTTAACCCAGATTAAGGCAAACTTTAATTTTTACAAATTAATTATAATACTACATAAAGTATACAATTTTACTCCATTCGGTACAGTGAGAAATTGTATTTGGGACGAAAAAGTTTTGTATCTTTGACATAAGAAATTACATTACTTACGACATTCGCATTGAGTCTGCATATTTTGGTAGCTTATAAGATATTCTGTGCAATCAAAATTAGAAAATAAATACAAATGCAGTATATTGGCTATATTGTTGTCACTGCATTTTATATTGGCTAACTCTTAATTTCCTACACTCGCGCTTATTTACATTTTTTAGCATTTTATATATGTTAAGTTTTAAGTAGCCCTACTATTTTATGCATTTTATTGTTAATTTATTGTTTTTTAAGTAGTTTTTTAATTGTACGTTCACGCAGTTTGTTTTTCGTATTTTATCTCACTATTGCGATAGGTCTTGTTCCTTGGGGAGAGAGATCTACTGTCTCACCACACCGTTTCATTCCAGGGCTGTGGAGTCGGGTAAAAATCTACCGACTCCGACTCCGACTCCGACTTTTCCTTACCATCCGACTCTGACTCCGACTCCGACCAGAGGCGGATTTGTTACCGAAAGAGACCCGGAAATTCTGATGTCATCACGTGATCTCAGAATAAAAAATTAAATAAATAGAGTTCTAATAAAGATAGAGCGTAGAAACTTTTTATTCCAAAGCTAAAAGACTTCTCTAAGTAATATATAAATATGTATTCGATAATTTTTACTTTTCCGGCTGTTATATACAACAGAGGAAAAGTGTAGCGCTCGCTCAAAAAATGACCCCTCCCAAATTTTTACATTTTTGGACTCGGGACACCGTAAAATTTCAAGTTATGCAAAAGATTCGAGGTTTTTTCTATATGTGTGGATGTGAGAGTGTGTGTTGGGGAATGATTTTGTTCATTCTGTTTGTAGCCTAATAATTTCTGTGGTCAGAGTGGTCGGAATCGGAGTCAGATGGTTTAACACAGGAGTTTATTTAAGTCAAAGTGGTTGAACTAAATCGTGTCCCCATATACATTCTAACATGTTAAGCGAGAACATCTTAACGGGTTTCACTGTACTATTATAAAATGGCAAAAAAGCTTACTTTGAGGGTAAAGACAAGTTTATTTTATTTTTTTAAATTTTAAACGCTAATAACGAGTAAAATATTCATTAAGAGATATGACACATGACCACTTTTATGTCTTCACCCTGTCGATCTTTCATTAAGAACCAAAATTTAATAGTATTAATGCCCCTTTATACGCAAGATACAGTGCCACATTTTGTTTCTTAAACTTTATCCATTCTGAGATATTGTTTAATTAATATCTCAAAACAGATAATAAAGAACTGAACTTCTTATCAAATACTGGAGGTAATATAATTCTTTCCACATGTATAAAAACCTTCCAAATCTCCAGTGATAATAACGTTGACGTTCGAGGATTTGAATCGCAGTTATTTGGTTCCTGTTCGATTTCGCACTGTTTGAATTTATTATAACGGTGGCCTGAAGAAGACCCTGGTAGGGTCGAAAACGTTTGCTTAAACGAGTATCACTGGAGATTTGGAAGGTTTTTATACATGTGGAAAGATAATAAAGAAATTAAACAAATTAGATGCCAACACACGCGCGCGCGAATTTTTCCGCTTTACTGACTTTTTTGAGGGGTTCGGGAGGTTTCCAAACGCGTAGATTTGAAAAAAAAAAAATCTTGGAGGGTCAAATTTGACACGATTCCAACACTTTTCCGTTTTATATACATAACAAGTCGGGAAGTAAAAAGGAGTCGGAGTCGGCGGATTTTTTGACGACTCCGACTCCACAGCCCTGTTTCATTCACAAATGTCCTTTGGATCGTTCATTACGAGTCACCGATAAACCCACGCAAGAAATGTCGATTTTAGACTAGTCTCCGTAACTCCAAACTTTTTAAATCCGTGTCCGAAGTTTTTTCCCCACCGATTCCGGTTAACCTGGTTTCGCTGTATTACTTTACTAATACAATTAAATTTACCGATTATTAGTTTAATTCTCGAGTGATTAATAAAAAGAGTGTTAAATAGAAAATTACAAATAAGTAAACTTTCGAAATTCGTTCTTCTACAATTTTCCTAAATATATTTCGTCACAAAAAAATTCTGATTCTGACGCATAATTTAATTTGTAAATAAATTCGAAACGTTAATTTATCGTAGATCGTACCTGTCATTCGATAGGACATAGCCACAGGCGCGTTAATTAAGGAAACGTCTGACAATTACGATAATACTGTACTTCAATTATATTGTCATTTTCAACGTAACGAGTATTCGCCAACAACGTTCGACAACTACATTTGTATCGTGTCTAACAATATTTGTGTCTTATAAAAATAATGTTTTTAAAAATTACAAATAAATAAAATGAGAAAGCGTTCGGAAATTTCTTACCGATGCAATGTCTGACTCCTGCTAAAAAAGGAAGAAACGAATAGCGACTTCTGCATTTACAATTTTCGGGAAGAAACCTGTCCGGATCGAAGGTACGAGGACGGGGAAAAACTTCCGGGTTTCGGTGCAGGTGAAAGATGCTGACGAGGTAAACCGTGTCCTCGGAAAAGATTTCTTTACCTGTTCATATAATAATTTCTTCAAATATCTTTCAATGCGTACACTATATACGGACTTTAAAATTACGAAAATCGCCGCCGGTGGTATATTCAAATTAGCGTAAAGACGCGTAAAGTATTGGATAAAACTTAGCAGTTCTCTGCGCGTATTTCGACCGTCACGTGAAATATTCGTTTTAACAAGTAAGACTAGGAAATGTAGGCGATGAAAATCGTTTTAGACCTACTTTGGGTAGCCCTGAGTAAAAGCCAACGTTTGGCAAAAATACGAACAAGGACTTTTTTCCGTAACTTAGCGGCGAGGTAAAACGGTGGGTATAAGAATCTTGTTACGGGTCTTCGCGAATCGGCATAACGAAGAAAATTTTGGAAATTGTGAAATGCAGCCGGCGCCCGATTTTCACCCATCTACCACTTTTGGCCAGCTCCACCTTCGACTTCCTCGAAGTAGGCGCGAGGTTATAATACAATGGCAAAAAACAAAATCACCTTGGGTTCGGACTAGGCTTGATTAAAACTCGTTACCGCCCGAGTGCCAGTTCGATTTTTATCGTCTTTTCGGATTTCCCGTAGCTGCTGCTGCTGCTGCCAAATCGCGGTTAATTAATTAATTAAAGTAATTAATTGAGCTAAAGTAGCTTGTCTTTCGGATTTGCGTTTTCGTTGTTATTAATGAACATCCAACTTTCGTTTCGGAACTTTCTCTTTTCATCTTTTAAGTTCATTTTAAAAAAATTTCATGATGACATTTTTCCAGATGATTTATCATGTTTTTGCTGGTGAAAGTTTTAGCATTTTTCCATCTCTCTAATAGGCCCGGATTTGAGGCGATTGGAGCGATATGAGCCAATCGAGCCCCCCGCTTGAAGGGGCCCCACACGACATCAAAATTTATATATTTAAAAAATAGTTTCAAATTACAGNTCTCTGCGCGTATTTTCTCATTGGTATTAAAATAATACTAATCGGCGGACTGCGGTAGATAATGCCACTATTCGTCCCACTCCCCCCACTGTCGCATAAAATATTCGCCTTCATAAGTAAGGCTAGAAAATGTAGGCGATGAAAATCGTTTTAGGCCTACCTTGGGTAACCCTGGGTAAAAGCCAACGTTTGGCAAAAATACGAACAAGGATTTTTTCCCGTAACTTAGCGGTGAAGTAAAACGGTGGATATGAAAAGTCGTTGCGGGTCTTCCAGGATCGGCATAACGAAGAAAATTTTGGAAATTATGAAATGCAGCCGGCGCCCGATTTTCCACCCATCTACCACTTTTGGCCAGCGCCACCTTCGACTTCCTCGAAGTAGGCGCGATGTTTTAATACAACGGAAAAAAACAAAATCACCTTTGTCTCGGACTAGGCTTGATTAAAACTCGTTACCACCCGAGTGCCAGTTCGATTTCTATCGTGTTTTCGAGTTCTCTGTCGCTGCTGCCGCCAAATCGGACAATTATCGTTAGACATATTCTTAAATTTGTCTTGTAAAACTTTTTCTGTTATTAAACTTATTATAACGTAAGTAAGAATAAATTAGGTATGCCTACCTGCGCAGGAGGATACTACAAGGTCAAATCCCCAATCGGAAGAATAAATGACTAAACAACTTTATCGCATACTTTTCTATTGTTGACATTAATTAATATTATACTTTTTGTATAAAATTTTAATATTTGATACAACACACAAATCCCCATCTATGTGCTTATTACCATAAAATTGTCCTGTTTCTTGTGACTTGACAATGATTTTTCTCGGTGGCTTAACATTTAAGTGTTCTTTTCAACGCTTCTCGGAAATTTTTTACGTTTAACATTTTTCCTTTAAAATAACATTTTATAAAATATTAAAGCTTAAGTTTTCGAACAAAACATTATTATATATAAACTGTATTAAGTTAGTCATTGGTGCATCTTATATACTGTAATTGTTTAATACGTAACTCACTCTTAAAGCTTTTTAAAACAAAACATAATTAAAATTACACAAGGTTAACGTTTCTTACCCAATTGTAGATTTTCGTGCGACCCTCTAATGGTAAAAGGTACCGACGGATACAACCTCAGGACTTCCTAATAAACACATTTATACATAAATATTTTTTCGTTATTGTTGATTAAACGCATTCGTATTATTATTAACCTTATTTCTTTAATACGCCAATATTTTCTTATTATATTAAATTTACCCAAATTGATATTACGGCCAAAATACGATTACGTCTTCTAATCATATCGCGTATTTTTCTTTAACATCTGCCTTTGAATCTAATTTACAGATGTTAAATCTACGATATTTTATATTCGGCGACTCGTTTTCTGCGTATGTTGGTGTGTTTATAACAGATTACGGTCACTTTTGATAGAAGTTTGACCCGGAAAATGTTACACTGGCAAAAACTATGAAATATTCGTTAATATCCAGCTTGGTTTTACGTAGTTGTTGCGTAAAAAGTTTCAAGTTTGCACCGACAGTTAGAAACAACTTATACGAATTTTAACACCGTCGAAAATTATAATTTACAAAAATGTGTATAACACCCATCGAATCGGTTAGAAACTTTATGTTTTATACCTTTTACGACAGTATTTTGTCCACTACGACAACCTTAAAAAATTCTCCAAATCGGCATAAAAGCAACTACCCGAATACTGCGAAACTTCAGACAAATTTAATTTTTTCTTCCTACATGTTGTTTCGAACCACGGATACTAAACGAATAAAAGGAAATCACCAGAGTTGCCATTTCGTTACCATAATGGCTGGAACAATACGCTCTACTTGTGCATAACCGTACACAGTTATTTTTCAGGTCTTAGTCAACTTAGTTAAAAGTAACAAAGTCAAACGGGACATATCGATGTAAACAATTTAACCGAATTACGGTAAAATTTATTTTTCTAACCGTAGGGTAAATATTGGTAATTTCGTCACACTTTTTAAATTCGTCTTTATCAAATTAGTAATGTAAGACGGGATTTGAAATTTTGCTGGCATATTGTGTGGAATATACTAAATCTGAAAATTTGTTCGTTCGAGTAAAGTGTCTCTAAACCATCGATCGATAGATATATATATATATAGGTCTATATATATAATACAACTAACTTTATTTCTTTATCAAAATAATTCAAATGCTATCCGATGTTAAAAATATAGTGTTTAATAGCGTATTTTTAATTTATTTAATTTCATTAATGGAAAAATTAACCGAAATAAGTAAAATATAACAAAGTAAACTCTAAACTCTCGATTTAACAGACAAAAAGTTGTCGCATAGAAAAAATTTAAAACCTTCCGTGTTCTCGAATAGAGCATGCTAAAAGGTCGAAACGATGAGTCGACGTCATTCTGTTAATGTACTGTACAGTACATTATATTATTACAGCATTTTATTTATACTTATACAGTGCGATGGTGAAGTCCCTCCTCAGTGAGCTATGCCGGTGTGGCTGGGCCGAGTGGTGACGTCATAATTTACTTTAACTCTCCACCCGCGATCTGCCTGCCACGTCCGTACTTCGTTGTTCTTCTCCCACTGCGGAAGGACTTAACCATGGCGGCGATCATTACAATAACGTTTTCGGTCAGTTATTAAAATACTTTTCTTAAAGCACATTTGATTTAACGGAGTTTCGACCATAGTGGGAATTCGTTCCCCCAATTAGTACTGTACGTTAATCGAAGGTGTACTTTAAATACAAAAAGTCATTTAAATTAAATTAAATTAAAACGTGGGTACATTTTGAAGTAAAAAAAAAATATTACGATAAACGTTTAAAGAAAGTGTGACTATTTTGAACAATTTACAAACGAAATTTTGAAATTTATTTTAAAAAAGCCGAAATTCAAAACTAAGAATTAATGTCAACAAAATATACTTTTAAATACTCACGTTAATGACGCATTCTAAATAAGTCAGGCTTTGTAAATCGTTTTTATTTATTCTTCTTTCTGTATTTTCGAATACCGCATCCAATTCCCGGTGAATTCTTTTCTGTATGTCTGGATGTCTCCCAATTTCGTAGACACTCCAGCAAACCGCCGAGGCCAGAGAATGAGAACCCTGTTGAAATCGATTCTCTTCTGTTAGTTTGAAACAATAAAATAAAAAGATTTCTTCGAACTGTCATTAAGAACTTTGGATTTTTTTTATTTTCCAAAAAATATATACAATTGCTCTAGTAACCTCTAGTGAATAAACCACCGCCGGCCGGTTTCCGCCTGGCCAACGGATTGGCCAAGTAGAGTTTTTCGGGATTTCTTCGCCCGTCTAACACCTAAATAGGATTTCGGTTTACCATAGAAAACATTCTCTCCTCGGAGGATCGCCCATATTTAGTGTTGTCACGCTGCATCGTTCCACTCCAACGTATTGCGCAATTTATTAATTAAGATATACTCTTATTATCTAGGTTATATTATAAAACACCTGATTTAAAATTGTTACCAAATTTTTGTTATATATAGTCTATATTGGGGACGAGTTGGTGAAGTCAGTCGTGAGTTAGGTGGCCTCCGGTATCCGGAGGCGACGCAACTCTTAAACCGCCAAGTTCCGAAGCCCCCTCGTTTCAATTTTAAAAATGTAATAATAATGTTACTGTTACAATATTTAGAAAGATGTTGCCAACCTAAAATACNGGTCAGTTATTAAAATACTTTTCTTAAAGCACATTTGATTTAACGGAGTTTCGACCATAGTGGGAATTCGTTCCCCCAATTAGTACTGTACGTTAATCGAAGGTGTACTTTAAATACAAAAAGTCATTTAAATTAAATTAAATTAAAACGTGGGTACATTTTGAAGTAAAAAAAAAATATTACGATAAACGTTTAAAGAAAGTGTGACTATTTTGAACAATTTACAAACGAAATTTTGAAATTTATTTTAAAAAAGCCGAAATTCAAAACTAAGAATTAATGTCAACAAAATATACTTTTAAATACTCACGTTAATGACGCATTCTAAATAAGTCAGGCTTTGTAAATCGTTTTTATTTATTCTTCTTTCTGTATTTTCGAATACCGCATCCAATTCCCGGTGAATTCTTTTCTGTATGTCTGGATGTCTCCCAATTTCGTAGACACTCCAGCAAACCGCCGAGGCCAGAGAATGAGAACCCTGTTGAAATCGATTCTCTTCTGTTAGTTTGAAACAATAAAATAAAAAGATTTCTTCGAACTGTCATTAAGAACTTTGGATTTTTTTTATTTTCCAAAAAATATATACAATTGCTCTAGTAACCTCTAGTGAATAAACCACCGCCGGCCGGTTTCCGCCTGGCCAACGGATTGGCCAAGTAGAGTTTTTCGGGATTTCTTCGCCCGTCTAACACCTAAATAGGATTTCGGTTTACCATAGAAAACATTCTCTCCTCGGAGGATCGCCCATATTTAGTGTTGTCACGCTGCATCGTTCCACTCCAACGTATTGCGCAATTTATTAATTAAGATATACTCTTATTATCTAGGTTATATTATAAAACACCTGATTTAAAATTGTTACCAAATTTTTGTTATATATAGTCTATATTGGGGACGAGTTGGTGAAGTCAGTCGTGAGTTAGGTGGCCTCCGGTATCCGGAGGCGACGCAACTCTTAAACCGCCAAGTTCCGAAGCCCCCTCGTTTCAATTTTAAAAATGTAATAATAATGTTACTGTTACAATATTTAGAAAGATGTTGCCAACCTAAAATACAATAAAAAATTATCGACGTGTCGGAAACGACCATTTTCTGGTCGAAAGACTTCCGGGCAAATTTAAATAAGGAGTCCCCGTGTACAGTACAGTGTAGATTTCGGACATTTTTCTTCGAGGAAATTTTTTTGAAAAATAATTTCTTATAAAAATTTCTTTGGGACTCCTTATCGGTGGGGCCCCGGGCAATAGTTTTTTTTTTGGTCCATAGGATAATGCGCCACTGCATACGACGGTTAACCCCCGTATTTCCCCACCCCTCGACCTTTCGTCAGTAAAATTTAATAGCGTCGATCTCCTAATACACAAACTTGCAAAATTTCAGGTATTTTCTACAAAAGACAAAAATTATTGGTTCGGTTTATTTGTTTACGGCCAAGCGAAGGTGGGGCATCCGTCCACGGGAATGCCTATCGAGAAGACGTTCTACGGGAAACTGGTCCTTATTTAAGTGTTACTAACGTGAAGAAAACCCGGAAAACTTCGCGTGGCAGTAGTGTTGGATGGTGTTAACCACTCAGCCACGGTGGGCGAGCATATAGCCAACAATACAATCGATATAATTACCGCAGCTAAAAACGTCATGATCTCGTCCACAATACTGTCGACGGTAATGTCGGGATTTTTGGCAGAAGCCTCCCACAGGTGATCGATAATGGGCAGGGTAATTCCCACTTTCGAATAGTGGCGTCCGTCTTCTTTTATTTGTCGAATTCTTTCGTTAACGGCCTGTAAAAG